TTGATTCTTCTGCACACCCTCTAAGTAAGGATGTAATCAAACAGCTCATGACATCCATACTTGGATCCCCTTCTTTAGTAATTACAGCCATGACATCCTCCCTTCTAATGTTCAACAGCTTACTTAATTCAGATGCTACCATATACCTAACATTCAAATTTTCATGATTAAGCCCATCAACAATGTCTAGCAATTGATCCTTCAAGCTCATTGGCCCACGCACTTCTTTTATTATACTAGTCACTTTAGAAAGAACAGGAATATCAGGTAAAGGAGGGAACTCGCGAATATGTTCTTTTAGGATAGCTCTATCTTGGGACACAAGCTCTTCCAAAATCTCCACTATTTTAGGAGAATGTGAGGATGATTTTTCTTTCTCTCCCTCTAAAAATGGAACAAGAGCAGCGAATACTTGGGAAATCACATGTTTGGTACTAGAGGGTGATACCAAAGCTAGTTGCTTAACAAAAAAATGGAAAACAGAAAGACCATCGTCCTGGAGTGGTTCCTTATCAATAGCATGCATGAGAAGAACCATAAGTTTCGGAACGTAAGTGCTAAGATGGGAACCCATTAGACCAACAAGCATCTCAATCCGTTTAACAGATTGTCTCTGAAGTGATACGTCATCTGCATGAAGCATTTTCCGATCAATGCTGTTAAGGAGACCAACAAAATGATTTCTCAAAAATCCAGGAAGATCTTCATTTCCAGTCAAAATTCTTGCAACTTCTTTTATCATCTGAGGCACCCTTGTCAACCTGGGAAAGGATTTTAAAGAAATCATATAGGTCTCATTATTGCAAGTAGTTAGTGTTACATTCAAGGAAAAACTCAAAGAGCAATAGGAAAAACTCATGTAGAACAAATTATGTGAAAGACAAATGATGTCTAGTACATAGAAGTTGGTGCTTCTTAATTTCTTAAATATGAAACCAGAGAAAGACTGATGATTCTACCTTTTGTTTATCTCTCTGACATCTTCATCAGTAAAGCACACAAGTTCATCCAAGAGGGCAGGCAATGCAGCAGCAAAAATCTCTTGATTATCCGAACCTGTTTTCTCATGGTAGAACCGTAGTACAGAAAATAAATCCTGTTCATCAGCTCGATGTAGAGCATAAGCAAGTACTTTGGGCAGCCAATTAACAATCAATTGCACCATATCCGTGTTTAAACACTTGGCTAATGCATACAAAGTTGTAATTACTTCATCACCATCATGTTGGGTGACAATGAGCTTTGGAAGAACAACAGGAACCATCTTTTTCACAAGTTCTTCAGTTTCAACATCAAGCACGGACACTGCAAACTCTTCCACAAGTTTTGGACATCTTGCAAGCCTAGAAGACAGATAATCATACAATTCATTTCTGTGATAAGGAACTCTTGATAAGATTAGTTCAAATCCTCCTTTAAGATGAGAGTAGCAAGATCCTTTTATCAACCTTGATGCTTTTATCCTGACTGTGATGTGACGATTATCAAGCTGCTCAGCTAATAAAATAAGAGAGAATAAAAAGAACTGGCTATGTATATCAACTGCATTCATAATATTCGCTGCAGTTTCTAGAAGAGTCTCAAACACCAAGGGATCATCTATTGCCGACAGAGCATCTTTTAATTTTTCCACAAACTTCTGTTCTTTAGGCTTATTGGGCGCCTCATCCAAGAATAAGCAATTCAGAATAGGTTCCTCAAGGAAAAAACTGATCTGTGTGCAGAATGCTTCTCTCACAGCCTTTCTCCTGTGAAGGAGTAGGTAATCGATACATTTCAACCAGTCGGATTTTGTTTTGATCAGAACACTATTGGTTGTGTGGAGAAGAATTCGCTGAATTGCATCAACACAAGCAACTTGAATATCTTCTGTTGATTCGTCATAAAGCAATTGGAAGAAAAGGGATAGCAACTTATTATAATCATAGTCTCTGGCAATTTCTAATTCTATATCATGAGTGTTGTTGACTAGGTGTACAATTTCTGACTGCAGTTCATTACTGGATGCATTTGTGTCACACTTAGAACACCAAAATCTCAAACGACCATCCACTGTCATATCATGATTTCTACTATCCTTCTGCAAATATAATTTGCACTGACCTTCACATGGAACAGGGCCAGTACAATAAGATCCATAAAGGCATGCTAAATAACCAAGTGTTTGGGGGATGATTTTCTTAATTTGGGCATCCATCTCTTTCCCTAGGGTCCTGCGCTGAAGCAATTACAAATTATAATTATAATGTTTTTTATGAGCGGACACTGGCTCACAAATTAATAATGTTTTTTATGGGCACTGATGCAAGTGGTAACATTTGGGATGATATCTACTTTTGAAGACATACTACGGGGTCATACTATAGTAGGGAGTACTATGTTTGGTAACCCAGTGAAAAACAAAATGTTAAATGTACTTACTCCAATCTCTTGAACATAGGCATAAGTAAACCATAACCACACCACATGACTATCATTGGCATGGAAATGATAGCTTCTCCTCTAACCTCCTTTATTTCATCGAGAAGGCCCAAATCCAAAATATCAAGATCATTACCATTTTGCAAAAACAGTCCAATCTTTGACAGAACTTGCAGCGAGTGGCACTTTGCCTTCCATGGTGGGAGAGAATTAATTGATACCGAATTGGACCATGGAAGCCTTAATAATGGTCGTACAACATCGGGAACACCACTCATACTCTTGAGAAACTTATTATCCACAGAAGAGCCTAAGTTAAAACCAGAAATAGGTAAATGAATAAATGAATTAGTATGCTTGTTCACTGGAATAGAACTCTACTGGTTAAATCAAATTCTATTTACACAATGGCATCTAAACTGAAAGTCATAAATTACTACGACATCATGTCTGGATTAAAAAAACATTATTGGCCCGGACAGATGTAGTGAAATCTCTCATTATACAATTCCTCCATATGACTTATAACGACCACTAGTGATTTATCAACACTGTGTTCTGAGTATCATGCAAACTTTTGAGGGAAGAAAATGTAGATCCTACATTAGTATTATGGAATATTTACAAAGCAGAAGTGGTATAGTTAATTTTGTTCCCTGTACAACAAAGGAAATCAACAAGTAATCAAATCATGATACCTTTTAGAATGAAAAGGTTGTTAACAGCTTCAAGAAATATTGACAAATCAAAGGGTATTGGAAGTCCTTGCTTCACCTGCAGATTTAATGAGTAGATTAGTACACGAGAGCAGCTTCAAACAACTAAACTAAACAAAAACCATGAATGCATTAGACCTGTTCATCTATCCAAGGAACCCATGCACACATACACTGTAATACTTGAAGCAAGAGACCGTTATATGGGTATTTACAGAAGACAATGCAGAGTGTACTAAGAGCTGTCAGTGCAATTCCCGGTGCCAAAGAGTCATCTTCTATAGGAGGTCCTAAGCGTTGCACAAATACCTTCAGCGAGCTATGCATAAAGTCAGCATAGTCTTTCTCTTGCATTGATGTAGAACCATATATAAGCTTGTTTAGATGATCACATGTTACACCAGAACCCATGAATTCACCATTGGTTTTTTGAAGTTTAGGTTTGGAAGTCTCTGTGCTGTTCTGAGGTCTTTTATCTCCAACTCTAGGTTTCTCAGATAGACTGGAATTTGAGGCTGATAAACACATTTCACCAACAATAGCTACTTCCCCTCCAGAAGAATTAGATTGTAGTCTAGATAAAGCAACCTCAAAACACAATATCAAAGGGATGGTGGCCGTGGATGAGTAAAGCAAATTAATGAGAGATTCGGGTTTCCAGATATGAGGGGGGCAATATTGAACAATACGAGAGTATGCACTGCAGAGAGCATTCTGAAAAAAAATGGTCAATAAGGATTGCCAGAAAGTACACTATGAATTACGGAGTAATAAGGCTATAAGATAAACAAGTCACGTGCAAGAATACTGATTGCATTAATAGAAGTAAAAGGCAAGAACATTAAATGAACCTTGAGCTCGTGACTGCTTGTTCCAAGCAATGAATGGGGAAAGACATTTATCAGAGCCACTGCTGTTGACCTAACAACATTTACTGAGCAATTGGAGTGTAACAAGTTAAGGCATCCTCCCATGGATGAGTCGTACATGGAGTTTCTGCAATTGAATGGCCATTAAAGTTGTGAGTGAGAATAATCAAGGAGGTGAGAGCAGAGCAACAAGCATATATTTCCAATAGGATGAAACCATTTATCAAATGTTGGAACTAGTAAAAGTTCCTATTAAGCTGATTCAACTGCATGCAAAATTATCAAGATGTAGGTTAGAACATTATTTTCTTAGGCTTCTAAATAGGCATCATTTTGTAAATTAAAAGAAGACAGTGCTAGAAAAATGAAACTAACCAAAGAAAAGAAAGAAGAATGTTTACTCGAATACCTGAATCCTAGAAGTCCCTTGCCTTCACGTAATATAAATGCAATCAGTTGTATTAGTCTTTCAGCAGGGATAATTTCAAAATTCAAGGCCCCAACAAGGCGCACAAAATCAAAGCATACCTAGCATAAGATCTCAATGGTCAGATAAGCAGCCTCAAAGCTGTGTTTGAATAGTTGGACATCAATGCGGTAGAACATGATGTAGTAGAAAGGAAGGCAATGTAAATAGAGCAGATAGTATGTATTTGAATGAGAAGAAAGAGAGAAATTCAGGAAGTGAATGTGTAAAAAGAGAAATGATCTATGCCACGTGTTTGATAAAGTACGAACTTATTTTCACCCTCAATGTCCTTTCGTCTACCCCCACCCCTCAAGTTTACCTTAACTAGTCAAGTGAAATGAAATGTGCAGTTCAATATGACTATTTTCTGCCAGACTTGGCATTTTTCACCTTTTGATTGGTTGACTCGCCCTGGCTGTCTAACCAGGGGACCAGTGATTAAGAGAGTAGCCAATCGTAAGGTAGAAGTCGTGCAGGAATCACCCCACCTGGAGTATATAAATTTAATATACATGCTATATTCAGTAAAGATACCAACCATGTGCAGATCAGCACATCCAGAACATAAAAGCTTGCAGACAGCCAAGACACAAGAAGTGCTCAAGAGTCCTTCAACATATAAAGTTCCTTCAGTTAAACATTTACAGAGGACCTTGATAGCAAAAGAAGCAAAAGGTTGACATCTTTCTTTCCCAGTTAGATTAATCAGAATGCAGCGGCTGTCATCAGCTGTACAGCTCTGGGGAAGATCACAGAAGGTTAAAGGATCATCCAAAACTCTCGAAAACGATTCGCTGAAACACTTCAAGGAAATTGTTCTCGATCCTTTACTGCATTGCTCGTCACAGACTAAAGCGACTTCCGCAATATCTATGAAAAGACAGTAGATTATAAGACGTAGCACTTTCTTACAGTTCATTTTCAACAAGCACTCAGAAGGAATTCTACAATGAACCATAGCCGAAAATAATGCTCCACTTGTGCTGGTCACAGTTCCAATTTAGTACATTCATAGTGATTTAGAGCTTACCTTCAACCAATGACATTGCATCCATGAAAAATTGACGATAAGCATCTCGATCTGCAGTGCGAAGCACTGACAACAGTGATGCAACCGTTTCGAAAATCACCCCATGTTGAGCCCTGAAGAATAGTTTTAAATTGTGAAAGAATAGAATATGGAAATTGCTTAATTCTATCATTCCTAATGTTCAATTAGAGGTGATGCTGAAGAGATAATTCCAAAATAAATCATATTCATGACAAAGCATAAGGTCAGCTAGGTTTGAAGTCCAAAAATGATGAGGTCCGCTAGGTTTGAACTTTGAAGTGTGCGAATTACCTAAATTCCAAAACAAAACCCACAAAAAAACGAGAACAAAAGGGTGGAGGCCTCGAATTGAAGTACTCACTGAAATGCAGGTTCGGCGAAGAAAGGCAGAACTCGACCAATCACAGGCAACACGGCAGCAGGCTTGCCGTGATAAAACACTCCGGGGAAGTTCTTAGCGACATGCGCGGAGAGCTTTAGTATGGCAACGACCTCTCTCTGCTTGTCTGCAGCAAATACTTCAAATAAACAGAGGTAAAGCAACAGAAATTAGGATGAAGAAGGAGGAGGAGGAGGAGGAGGAGGAGAATTGAATCCTCGACCTGAGGAGGAAGACGAAGGGACGACATAGGTGTGGAAGAGATTGGGGAGAACGTCGCGGAAAAGGACCTCCAAATCGTCGTCGTTTTCCTTGTTCGGCGGCCTCGCTACTATGCGCTCGCGGAGTTGGTGCAGGAGGGTTGAGAGGTTCGCCATAGCCAAAGCTCATATCAAAACCAGACACATTCTTCGCTGTTCTCTTTTCCCTCCCTATTTCGAATTCTGGTCTCGGTACTTGTGCTTGTATAGCAATTGTTCAACACATTGCCGCTTAAGAGTTGGTCATTTTGTCAGAATTTAATGACCACAAAGATCTACTCCGTATTTTCTATGAATACTCATTTTTGAACATGTCATTTTCAATTATTTGAAAATGAGTATTCAATTGTTTAAAAATGACTATTTAGTTACTTGTTAATGATTACTCGCTACAAATGTATAAGAAACACTGTAAAACTGGTCGTACGGTATATATTGCGGTGTTTCGCTTATGTTGAGGTTCGAATCTGAGTGAACTTCTCAAGAATCACTCAAGCGTGAAAAAAAATCCCCGCTCAATGAGGCTTTAATCTAACTTTTGAACATAGAAATTTTATATTAATTTATTTAAAATATATAAATTTTATTTTTATACTTTTACATCAATATTTAAATAAAATATAACATGTAGTCATGTATAAAGAAATGAGTAAATTCTGAAAACGGTCCTTTCTAATAAGGTATTTTTTTTAAATTAATCCTCAATAAATAATAATTACCAACATAACTTTTGTAATTGAGATTTATTTCCTAAATAGTCTTCCACCAAAAATGTTTATTAAATGCTAGTCAAATAGAGGGTATTTTGGTATATTCTATCATTTATACTTAAAATATGTTCTCGAAATGCTCCTTTATAATTAAGTAATTTTTCAAACTGGTAATTTCTAAGTAAATTTTTTCCTGAAATGGAGCCCATGAGCGCACTCGAGATGATCCATTCTTCAAGCAGCCACCCACTTAATTTGAAAGGGCCATTTTGAAGATTTATTCATAGTTAAAATGATGAAAAATATAAAAATACTATCAATTTAACTATCATTTTTATAGATGAATATTTAAGAAATACATCTCAACTACAAAGGACCATATTAGTAATTATTGTTTATTAAAGACTAATTTAGAAAAATACCTTATTAGAAATGACCGTTTTGAAAATTTACTCTAAAGAAATTAATGACGCAAAGAAAATACATATGCACATAAGTAAAGTTCAAAGTTTTGTTTATGTTCATGGGATTATAAACCAAGAACTACTCTCTTCCATTTTTTTCAACTTAGAGTTGTGAGAATTTAATTTAAACTTGATCAACATCAACATCAAAACCTCTATAAGCAGCATAATCTACAAAGCTGTGCAATGGGATGACCTTCTCCCCATACTTCTTCTCAAGAGCATCCAACTCTCTCTTAGCTTGTGCCCTCATGTCCTCTGCAACCTCCCTCGCCCTCTCGACGCCGTACGCCATCACATAGCCCTTCCCTTTCCTCTTTTTGGCATTTCCGATTTTGCCCTCACCGCTCTCCGCCTTTGCTTCCGATATATCATTGACGACTTGATACAGCACGCCGACTGCGCGCCCGTACCTTCTCAGCATTTGGATCTCTTCGTCCGAAGCACCCCCGAGGTGGCCCCCGCACACAGCCGAGCACTCTCCCATCTCGCCGAACTTCTTCTCTTGAACGAACCCCACGGCGTGGGGCCCGCCCTCGAGGTCGACGAACTGTCCGGCCGCCATTCCCGTGGACCCCACGGCCCGGGCGATCTCGGCTATCACCTTGAGGAGTTGATCCTCGGGGACGAGATCGGTGGGCGTGTGGGACACTATGTGGCGGAAGCCGAGCGGGAATAAGGCGTCCCCGGCCAAGATTGCCATGTCCACGCCAAATTTCGTGTGGGTCGCGGGTTGTCCTCGGCGCAACGGATCATCATCCATGCATGGCAAGTCATCATGTATCAAAGAAGCCGCGTGAACCTAATCAAGGGAATGATCAGCTCAGAAGAAGAACAAGTTGTCAACTACAAAACACAAACATTTCTATGAAAACTGAAAATAATAATAATAAACTCAAAAAATTCAGCTACTTGGAAAGTCAATATTCTCAGTTACCTTGTACACTGATTATAGTAAGGATAGGAAGGTAGGAGTACATTGCAGTAAAAAGCTTGAACCTAGCTTTCATATAAAAGTCCCTTCTCTATGGTATAGCCCTGAGGTTATCCGAGAATCGCGACCATACAAAGCCCTAAAAAATTTGGGACCTCAAGAGAAGGTGGAGTTCACTATTGACCATAGTTATTCTATTGATGCATGGTACAAACAGAATATTCACTTAGTGTTCCAAATTCACTTCAATATGTGTTGCCTGTGTAATTTGTTTTGAAGAATGTGTATGTTTTTTCTTTAAATCATCAAATTTTCTTTGAATTTGTGACTGTTTGCTTCATTACAAAAAATAGTGTCTTCTTCCAAATATTGATTGATTAATGTTGTATGTTCAACATCAATGGAGAAATTAATTGAAACTAAAAGATGCTCCATATATACCAAAATAGTACCTTCAATATTTTTGTACCAAATAATGATATGATGACATACAATTCCAAATTCTGGTCTTATTTTGGTATAAGCTTCACGTTTTAGTCTTATTTAGGTACATTTCTTTAACATCACAGCGAACTAAGATAATTGCGCTAAAAAGTCTTTTTAAAAACTTAGAGGTAAATGGAGTAATATAAACTGTAAAGGCCTAATTCTAATTTTTGCATAGGGCCAACACAAATTTTGGACCGGCCTTTTGTCCCTTCTTATCTGTACTACAAGCAGTCAAGCAGCAGGATTGAAAAACTAGCTATATCTGCAACTAGATATTGTCCATTTTCACAGTCCAGAAGAATAATAGAAGAAACCATCGCCGTTAGCTAAATTAAGCCAATTTGATCGAGCCTAATCGATTAACTTCTCTTCAATTATGGTAATGACATCAATCCAAGTGGAAACTTATCATTTATGCTTTAAGAATTTCACAATGTTTTGTCCATTCATGCTGCATACTCTTCAACATTAACTGCTTTTAGCTCAAGAACTGATAGTATACATTGTGTCACCTACAAACTTAAGTGAGATGAAGGTGATGATTATGAAGTGATCACTATATTGGGTCCGACTCAGATATATAAACAAGTTAGGTCCAATATACCTAGTTCATTCCATGATTACTTTTTGTATTTAGGTGGAGATTGGAACTCGTAAACTCCCGCAATATGGGCCTCGAATTCTACCCGGAATTGAGGTCCAATCCACTTGAGAATGGAGCAAGGGTAAGGCAGGTGCTAGGGTTAGGAGACAAAGAGATGCTTCCGTGGTCAATATTCACATCTACCTTATTTACAATCAATTTCCTCTCTTAATTCTCATTATTCGAGTGGATTAAAGTTTATCATTGCGATATCTATAAATTTAAGAAAACAATGGGTCTGTTTGGGAATAGCGTTAGAGATAACCGTTTTAGATCATGTCATTAGTGTGTGTGTGTATACTGTATACGATGGGGATAGTAATCAATTCAAAATTCCAAATAAAACAGATTTTAGGCAAACACAATCTGTTAATAGGAATATCTGGAATAGTGCATAGATTGAATTGAGATTTCGGGATTGGCCGTACCATTTCGAGAGCGCAGGCGGTGGGGAAGGCGGCGAGGCGATCGCCGCCGAAGAGCTCACAGGCGGAGACGCACATGATGGGAGGGGCCCTCTTGGCGCCTTTGGCGAGAACGGAGTACCGCATGGCCTCGTAAATCTGGCGCGGGTACTGGACCGGAACCGCCTCATCCAGCTTCTGGTTGATCTCCCTCATCAGCGTGGCCCAGTAATTCTTCAGATCGAACTTCGCCGGCGCCGGCGCCGCCGAAGAGCACCTGATTGCCCGCTTTGCAACCGGACGGCGTCCCGGAAAATACAGCTGGCATGAACTTATTGCCGTGGAAAACACCATCGCCGCGTCTCTCTTTCTCTCTGTGTCGATGAAACTCCGTATGTGCGTTGAGGAAGACGATTATGACAGTGTGACGAGCTTGATTTCGCGGGTCAACGGCCACATATTGGGTGCACAAAAAAGCCATTGAATTTAAATGAAAATTTTCTTTTTTAAAAAGGTTTTATACGAAAAAATTTGTTGAAATTGTTTTACCAAACTAATTTTACCAAACTACTTTTGTGCCACTTGTACATTACTTCTTCCGTCCAGAAATGTTCTTCCCGTGTTGACTTGGCACGCTTATTAAGGAATAGTAAAAAAAATGCAAAATTTTCAAAAATGCACATACTATAAACTTTTAAATCTCCTTTTATTATTAAAAAAGTATTAAAAAAGTAGATTTGTGATAAAATAGAAGGGTATTATTGATATTTAGCCTTAAAAAGCATACTAAAAAAGAAAATGGGAAGATTATTTCCGGACGGACCAAAAAGGAAAATGGGAAGAATATTTCCGGACGGAGGGAGTATTTTGTAAACCATAGCTTGGCAGCATTGCTTAGATGGCTTATACGTACACAAAGCCTCGGTGCAATCGCAAAAATTTTACACTCATTCCAACTAATTTACCCAACTCCTAAAAACTCTCACCTAGTCCCAAGTACCAGAAAAGAGGTAAAAGAAAAAAAAGTGGAGTGGCACATGTTAAAATGTACAAGCTCAACACCTTTTGTATTGTTAAGTGTTGCTGTGTTGATTTATAGATTTTGATAATTGATAAACACAAGTTATTCAAGTCAAGAAAAAAGTGCTACATTGACAAACACAAAGGATTAAAGTGCCAAATCCCTTGAAGCATAGAGCACAAAATTTAATGAATATTGAGACGCCTAATGGAGCGTCTAATAGAATTGAAGAAGAAGATTGATTTGATCTGATCTGGTCTAGTATGATTTGATCTGAATGTAGTTTAATTTACAACTGTTTCTGAACTGATTCTATTAAAAAAGAAACAAGTAATAAGAATAAGTTAAAGAGAACATAGCCTAATTCCTGGTAGTATGTATTTAGGGGGGAAAAACTATACAAGTCATCCCAAAAATGGTGTTTTTGAGCTTTCTTTCACCAGGAGTGTTTCTTTGCGATTGCAGAACCCAACTTCTCCACCACTCTTAACATCGACGAGTTCCCTTCACATGCCTCCCTCAACTTCTCTAATCTGTTTTCGGTTTCGCATTTTCGTCGAGAGAGATATTCACCATCCGTTTCGGGTCTCAAGCACGCCTCGGGTTTCTCGTACTGAACTAAGCTAATCATCATGCCCTGTCATGGGTCACACATAAACAAACACACCAACACTTAATACCGAATCTCCATAGAAAGAAGAAAAAAACCAAAGTTTGAAGTGTCGTTTTAGTGGATGTTTCTCTTTGCTTATAAGCTGGTCAAAACTGCTTATAAGTTGTTTTTAACTTATAGGTTTGCCGATGACATGTTTTTCTGTGCTTATAAGCTAACTTATAAGCAGCTTATAACCCATAAAAAATCAGTAGGTCTTACCTAAAATAAGCCAATTTTTTGAAACTCTATTTTGACCAAATTATGTACAAAACTATTCCTCACCACTTATGAATCTTTACAAATGATTTATCCACCATTTAAGTCATTTTACTTCCACGAAAAAATATTTAACTTATAAGCAGCTTATAAATTAAAAATTAATTATCAGCAATAAATCAATAAGCATCAACACACAGAAACATCCCCTTAATTTGTCCCATTATTTAGTGGGAGCTAAAACACTGTCACCGATGACTCTTTATTGAAAAATATTATGCATATAAATAATACCTCGTGTTGCTGGTTACGAGAGTAGTCACGGAGGAGCGATCTGGCAAGCTTGTTTCGTAACGGCAGGGTGTGATGAGTACAAGTCTTGAAAATGGTAGTCGAAAGGTGATGCAGGGCAATTGTGAACGATGCAGATGAGCGAGTTGAAGCTCTGTCTAGGGAACCAGAAACCCAAGATTTAATGTATACCTCCAAGATCCTCTCATCATCCTGCAAACATGCCAAATACATATGTTACCTTTCTTCCCCTACACTTAAATGGAAATACTGTTCACATTTTTTCACGACTAAAGACTATTTTACCCACACTTTTGCATTATTCACCTTATGTACATCTCTCTTGAATTTATCGCACCACCAAACGCAAAAAATGGAAAGTCAAATACGTTTCCACCTTGCGTATAAATGGCGTGTTGAGTCAAAATGAGAAGAAAGATATGGGACGGAGGAGGCACATGAAGACTAATATGAGGTCCCTAGCGTAGGGAAACGTATTAACTAAAGCGCAAAAATACATGAAGACTGATAGGAAAACCCTAAATAAGAGTAAAACATAGAGAAAGTACCAAAATGGGAGCTCCATGTTTTTATCCTAAAAATAGCATTTTGATTGTGGCATTGTATATGGACATTTCACAATATTTTTTGGTATTATATATTGGAATGATTGGCATTGTATATGCATTCAACACTTATATTGGGAATAAAAACATGAAACTCCTCTTTTGATATATTTTCAATGTTCTGTTCCTATTTTAGTCTTTTCCCTAAGACTGATTCCATGTAGGTCCCGCCTAGCCAAGCCTAGACGCTAAGCCTCTGTGCTCTTTTTACAACACTGATAAGAAATCAAGGTGGGAATAGAGTACCTCAACAGGTTCAAGATAGCCATCAGCGGATATGCATTTATCCAAAGGAGGCAGAAGCTCAAGAGCAAAAGCGCTACACAGTGCTCTCCATGTTGCGAGCCGAACAGGAGCTTCTACAGACCGATGCAAGTAAAATGCCACTTGGCGCCCAAATATCAGATCGCCATATGAAACGGCCGCAAACTGCTCCACCAGAGTCTCAATGAAAGTTGAGTAGCCGTCGTGGATCTCTGATTGAAAATTAAGGTACTTCACTTCAGTTCTCCCTTGTGCATCAAGAAGTTGCCCGTAAATACCCTGCAAATTTTCATAGGCGACCCGACTATTTCCATCCTCAAGAATGCCTGTTCCTGTGAGTAACAGAATTGAAAGGGCATGGAGTTTCCAAATGATGGGCACGTACAGTAAGGGTCCACCTGGAATGCTGGGGGAAAAAAATCGGCATGCAGAATATATGAGAAAATTAGGCAGGAATGAAATATATGAGGGAAAATAACACATTTGTTCAAACTCATTAAGATTACACTTTGATATTTGTGTTAATTCATTTTATTTATCTATATCGATTGTAGAAAGAATTAAGTGTCCATTTGGGATGGCATATGAAAAGAAAAAAACTTAAAATGTGCCTAAAAAAGCATTAATTTGGTGCATTTTGTTGAGAAGACAGCTTTTAACCGTATCATATTTATCTCAATAACAGCATCAATATATTGTTTGGAAAAAGTGATTTTATTTATTTCAGATATCATCCCAAACGAGTTCTTAGAAAACTAAACATTTGTAATTAAAAAAAGTGTTTATAACATTAACCAATAATCTTTTTTCATTTTGTTTGCATTTTTCATGGTAAAACCAAACATCAAGAAAATAAGTTTCCATGACATTTGTTTTCCTTTTCCTAGCATTTTTTGGTGTATCTGAACATACATACCCAGACAGTGATTCCGAAGAACCGGCTCCAAAAAAATTAGATGCTGCTTCAATACCAAAAAGAAAGAAAAGACCTCCCTTTGCCACTTCAAGAAACCCTGCAGTGTCAGAACTGTTTTTGCTGCAAGGTATAGTTGACAGTGAACTGAGGAACCAATGCAAGGGAAGAGGCAATCTCTGGCGGGCCCACTCAACTGCTAAAGAGGCTGGGCCTGGTGTGACCAGACTTGACGCGTCTGTTTCCTCCAGAATGGTCTCTAATGAGCTTCTGCTAATTTCAGGTTTAGGTTTCTTTTTTGAGCCCAACCATCTGTTTCTGAAGTGAGATGCTAAAACGTTACTGAACAGCAGATATTCTTCTTCGCTGTACTCCCGCTCAAAAGGTTTAAGACACTTGTTAAGATCAATCAATTGGCGAGTAATGAAATCAAGGGACTTCAGAACAGGAGCTTGGAACAAGATACCAAACAGCTTATGTATGACGTACTGACCCTTTGGCCCCACAACCAAACAAGTTGCGATTGTAGAATTAATCCTTTGTATCACAGAACACATAATTTCTTTATTAAGGGTTGATAACTGATTTTCCAAAGAGACTATCGGAAGTATATCAAGAAGGTGAGCAATCAGCAATCCATCTACCTCAGCTGACAAAACAAGCTTTGACCAAAACCCACCCCCAGATGCACCCCAACCGACACCAATCCCAGGAGCGGGCCCACCTCTACCAAAAGTCTCAACCAAATGAATGGGTCGCCACTTGTGCTCAATTGACTCTACCAAGTTCATCATCAGATGCCCTAAATCAGACAGACATGACTGCAGTATCCCATCACTGAGAACTCTATCCTCTGGTGATAAGGTTTTTACGCAAATTGATGGTGCATTGAGAATCTTGCATTTAGGTAGAGAGATCAATCTATCAACAAAGGTAACAGCCCGGATCACTCCTTGAAGACAACAAGTGGAAGCAATTGATGTTTCAAGCCCAGCGTTAAGTCTCAGAAGACACATACACTCAATAAAGGAGCGAGTGACCTTGTAGGTACCATCTGTTACTCCTGAAAAGCTAAAAAATCCATTTTTTATAATCTCAGATCCAATCTTAGGGACAAACTCAGGCAGCCATGGGAGACACTCATTAACCAGGATCGTGCTATCCTCAGGTGGGATAACAGCTTCGAGAACCCCAGAGAGCATGTGCAAAACTGACGAAACGAGCCACATTAGGGAATTAATGACATCATATTCTTTTTCATCATTTTGACATTGAAGCAGACTGGATATATATGGAATGTTCTTTATAACAATCCACTCCAGTGAAGAATCGATCAGGGGCCCCACGTTACTCCAAGACCAATTCTCGGTGTCGTCATCTTCCATTATAGCATCCATCTGGTGCGAATAGAAATTGGGAAGTCTTTTACTTAAAGACCCCAAAACAAGGAATGCTTCCTTCGCAACCATCACATACTCATTGACCACATTTTGCTCAATCAGTTTCTCAAAAGAAGGAAAGGTTAACCAAATGCAAAGGGCGGGAAATAGGTTTGAAAAGTGAGATACACAATATCCATAGTGAATGCAGACCTTCCAGAAGCGTAATTGTTCGACCAGAAGAGCTGACGAAAATTTGCAGGCTTCTGTTCCACGTTCTATCCATTGGTCAAGAGATGATGAGTTACAGTACAAGTGCAATGTCATCTTCAGGAAAATCCCATTTTTTACAAATTCTGAACAATTTTTCTTACTGAACCGGGCCAAGATCTGCACCGTACAGTAAAAACAAATACAAGGAAACTGACACATAAGCACAACATGGAATTACCTGAGAAACGAATGGATAGCATGACATGGAACTATTAGTGATACTATATATATGCGTACTTGTAAGAGAGTGACTGATTTTATCTTGGAAGGGTTGATTTCCATTGGAACAATCTCAACGAATCTGTTGACAATTACTTGCACCAGGCTTTTACAATTCATGATTGCATTTGCACAAGTTGGTGAATGCCTTGCAATTGCAATAAGGATAGACATTGAGCATTCTTCCAGTGGCGCTGAAGGATCCATCTAGCATTGCAAAAAAGGCTGGCATGTCAGAATTTGCAATTCACTTGTTTAAGTTACATATTACTCCCACCATCAGAAAATAATTGTCATTTTAGCCAAGAAATATGTTCCAAAATATTTAGTTTTTATTAATTCAAAAGCATTTTTAAATTATTCTTCCAAAAGTTTCCACATTGACTCTTAAAGCATTAAATACACTTGCACCTTCAAAGATATAAGTCATATAACACAAACCTTAGGGGATAGAGCCATAGCTAGAAACAACATTTATTGCTCAAGATATAAAATACGTACTTAAATGTTAAAACAAAAATAAGGATAAAAAGTTATTTTGTAAGGTTCCCTAATATGTGTGCACTTTCCTCAAAAGCCAATTAGTTTGTGAGATGGAGGAGGGGGTAGCCCTCAGGGTGTATGAAAAGAGAAAGATCAACTTCATGACATAAGGCATAATACCTCTAGTAGATAGCAGATCCTTTGAAGGATTCCCATTCTAACCAGCCCGGCAGCTATATCTTGTCCCGCAATCATAACGTCGTCCTGGATAGAATGCTCATCTTCGGGTTTGTTGTCAAATGAATTCTGGGCACTAGTAAGAATATTAGAAGGTTTAGTGCTGTACTTCCAGAAACCACCATGAAGAAAGCCACCATCAATCTCTGGTCGACTTCTAAAGACTGGAGCTGTGGGAATATCTGCCTGGTAATTGGGTATCCTCTAAAACATGACAAATAGCAGTAATAAGGCAAAATACATTGTGGCATATTGTTATTCAGAAAGTAGAATAAAATAATTTGTTCTAGACTTCTAGTACCTCTGCAATATCAAAGAAGCTTTCATTAATTTCATAAGTCAGCATGCTCTGAATTACTTTTGCACAGGCCAAAACTACAGATTTGTGATTGTCATCAAGACATATCCTGCAGGTATAGAAGTGCCCTATCAGGACCATCTCTTATTTTAGATAAAGTATCACCACAAATCAAACTTGGTGGAGCACTGGAGCTTGATGTCAAGTACGCCCTGTCTCATGAAGAACTTCACTTACCTTAACAAGAGTTTCAGAATAAACTGCACACTCACCTTTTCCCCTTTTCGGGTAAACATTGTCCATTACAATATACGGATAATATTCCTTTCCTTTTTGAGATGTCTTACCCTTAAATTCACACTTCCACTTAGGCAAAGTACTCAAAGCAAAGGTCTAAAATAGCCTCAAATATCTTTCCATTTATCCCCCCACCTCCTTTTTTCCTAACAGATTCAACATTTCTTACTCGGCCCATTTGACACCCCAGATGCATTTTCTTATCCACCCCACTTAAATATAAGGGCAATATGGGAAAGCTGAAACATAAAATTTTCTTACCTAAAACACAGTGATTTCAGACTTTGAATTTAATTGGGGGTGGAGGGAGCAAGTATTATAAATTTCTTCTCCATCCAATCAACTGCTCAATCTATACTACCATTGAAATATTAGGTATTTAGATGTTACATTTTCTCTCTCGAACTGCAGAATTATAGGAAAGTACTGTGTACATACACCCCCCGGACACCACTTATGGGATTACATTGGGTAGATTGTCCGTTGTTGTCCCTTATTGCTCTCTTTTTTACCTATGTTTTCTTAATGAGCGTTCCTAAACATACCATAAACTTTATATTGGCCCTATTGGGTTGGAGGAATTTGATTTTATTTATTTATGCCTATAGGCCGTGGTATCAGCAACAAGTTACATAAAAAATTACCTTAGTGACAATGCGAGTTCAGGTTCCGGGCCTAGTGCAAAAGCCCAAATAGCCTCCCAGTCAACTGAGCCATCAGTGACTATGTAATTTAAGGTATGCCCAAGTTGATTTTGAAAAATTCCATTAATGGCCTTATTAATAACAGATGCAATAAGACGTAATGCAAGTGCCCGTTGCCCAGGAATCTGCATCCAGAGAGAGAGAGAGAGAGAGGTTAAACTTGGACAGAAAGAGCTCATACAAATAAGGGAAATAATTACATGGAAAGTTCAAAAGACAGAAAATTGCAGTACTAACCACACTCCTTGTGAGAGCCACAGCCTCTTTAATAGTGTAGCCAGCAGCACCAGGATCACCTTCAGTTCGAAGAAAATCACGCTCTGCTACATTATCGGGACTATAATCACTAGAAGATGGCACTGTATCTGCTAAAAAAGAAACCCAGTTTAAACCACATTAGTAGCACCTTAAAATGATTTTAATATTTAAAGCCTGCATGGTAAGTGTGAATTTGGCTGTAATTGCTTAAACTGTGGCTGGTATTGACGAAGAGTCTAAATTTGATGAATCATATAATAAAAAATATGAGTGATGATAAAATAAAATAAACATATGAAAAAATGGTTAAAGTGATATCTTCAGCTACTTACCCAGAAAGCACTTCCAGCCCTATGTTTTCATTATTATCTGATTCAGGCATTCAGCTAGTGTACTAAAATAAATTAACAACAACAATCTACCCAATGGAAACCCATAGGTGGGGTCCAGGGGAGGTAAACGCAGTCCTTAGCTCTTCCTATAAAAGGTAGGGGTTGTTTCCAAAGGACCCCAGGCATACAAGAACAAAAGAAAGAAAAGATTCACAAGAAAAGTAAAGGTAAAACAAAATATGAGCACAAAATAAGAAGATAATTTATCAACACCCAAATAAAGGAACACAACGTCACAAAGAATATATCCCACTAAGCTGAGATACCAACTAGAACCATAGACAGCTTGAGTAATAGAAAGAGACGGCCGAAAAGCCAACTACTCCGCACCTTTTTACCTTAACAGTTAATGAGATGAAAGGCTGGAAAAATTGCTACCAAAAGAAAACATAATTCCATAAACAACTGAGATCTATAACTTGAGCCATCATAACAATCATCAGCTAAGAAGTACAGCAGTCAGCACTATGTTTTTTTCAGCACACTGAACAGGAACAACTATAAACAAAAGGATTTATTCGGGGAACATAAAATCATTAGTTTATGAGAGGGGTATTTGAGAGAGAAAAAATGCATAGAGGCAGGTGAAGAAAGCAACATAAAAAAGATTCAAAATGCAAAAAGTAAATAAGCATGAAAGAAATATTTATTATTACAATCATATTCTAAATTTTGGTCTTACCAATCTTATCTGTCACCTTGGCATCATTTCCTACAATATTTCCATCCATGGAAAACCTCAACTCTCTGACCCTCTCAACTCTTTTGCTCCAAGCATCCCACAAGCCAGTTTTTGCTGGCAATGAATTTGGAATGTTACCACCTAATTTTGAATCTTTTTCTTTCGGTATTGGATTGCTCCCTGGATTGGAATTGACAGTAGCAGAAGAAACAGCAGTATTCATCATGCTTTTCTCATTCTGATTATTATCCTTTTTACGAATGGAATGTGTACCCAGGCTTGGAATATTTTGTCTTTTCAACTTGTTTAGTCCACGCCTTCTTAGTGCTTCTATTCCAGAAGGACTAAGTTTTGCCAAAATCTCAGCCCGCGCTTCTAAAATCTCATCAGCAGACATTCCCGCTAATCGTGCACGATTTTCAACATCGATTTGGCCCTCAAGACTCATTAAGTCGTCCCCATCATCAACTTGAATATCTTGACTCAATGTATTCAACCCATTGGGTAGGACATCCATGTGACCCTCTTGATCATCAATGGCCATATCCGAAACAGATTGTTCTTGTTCTTGAGATTCCTTGTCCGGCATGGTCAGATCCTGTGATTTCAATCCACCATTTAAATTGCCTGCACTTTCAAACTGAACTGTGAAATTCTGTCTCTCTATTGAACTGATATAATGATCATCGTCTTCTTCCCTTTTGTGCATCCTAGAACTACTTCTACCATCTGCTGCCTCTCGCCAGCTACTAAAGTCCAAACCTTTTTTGTCTTTCCTTTTCACTGGTTTGGCAAAAGCCCCAACTTTGTCTAATCCTTTGAGATCGTCCTCTTCCATTTCATTCTCCACTTCTTCACCACCATCATTAACATCCTCAACCTTTGGCTTCCAATGCTAAAGAACATGGGTAAGTACTTAGAGTTAGTGTATTCTCAAACAATAAAAACTAAATCAAGTGCCCCCGCGAAGGTATTTTAATTATTCCTTAGCGCATGAAATTAAATTTAAGTAAATCTATTTCACTCAAGTGTATACAGCAACAAGCCAGGTATAATCCCAACTGCGTTGACATCTCAGAGTCAAAATGTATGCAACATTTCATTTTACTTTAGATGATTTTTGGGAAGAAAATGCAGCAATGCATCAAGGGTCTAACCGAACCAGCCTCTCTGTTCTTGGGGGGGTATAGGGGGGTATTGTTATATGTGCAATTCAAATTTCAACAAAAAATTTAACATCTTTAATGAACTCATCTGTAATTAAAGCAATCCCTATGAAGAACTACAAGCTGCACAAAGGGAGGCTAGTTTAAGGATGAGTGAAATTACCGGACCGTGAGAGCGATGGCGAGCTATTGGGAAAGGGCGAACGGCAGGGCGAGGAGGAGCAATGGAGAAACCCGGCGGCCCTTTGCTGTGAAGTTGATCCGAAAAGCCCTTTTCGACTATGCCGCCGACGAGGCTGGAGGCGTCGTCTCCGTTGGTCTGTGATAAACAAAGTTTTGGAGTTAAGTTTCTGCCCCGGCTCTGCTTCTCCATTCCTAAAGCTCGCTTTGGCTTGTCAATGGCGTCGCAAAAGACACACTTGGAAGCTTTCTGTCGCTCTCTCCTTCTCCTGCAGTTCCGCTGGTTTCTATTTTCTCCGTTGGGGGTTTTCTGTAGGAGACAAGATTGCTTTTTTGGTAAATAAGAATGGAACAAAGAATTTTTTATTTTGAGTAAATTTTATAATTGGTCATTTATAACAGTGGTTTCCCTATTTAGTCCTCTATTATCAAATATTATCCCAGTGGTCCTTCTTTTATGGGTACTTTCCATCAAATAGTCCTTTTTTGATCTTCTATCATGTTGGTATTAATTTGAGGGTTAAAAGTGTAATTTCACAATGATAATATATCTTTTTTGTCATACACAATTCCAAAGGCTATTCCGTTTGCGTCGTTTCTGAATTACAGTCGCTTTTTACGACAACGATATTCTACAAATGTGATTTTTCGTCAGAATCCTAGCCCACAATCATAGTCATTATTTTTGTGTTATCTGCTTAACCAATATCAGAACACATCACTAGACATAATGTTGATGTCAAATTATACTTTTCGCCTTTAAATTAACACCAATACGGCAGAAGATCAAAAAAAGGACCATTTGTGGAAAGGTACCCTTAAAAAAAGGACTACGGGAGTAATATTTGATAATAAAGGACTAAATATGGAAATCCCCATGTTATAAAGGATCAATTATGGAATTTACTCTTTTATTTTTTATATTAATAAAATACAGATAATCAAAGTAGAGGTGGGTGTTCTTAAACTTCTTATATTATCTCAATCTATCATGGTCCGCTCTTATTCAAAGTACGGTTTGGTATGGATACGGAATGAATTCCAAAACTATTTTAAATTATTTAATTTTGAAACAGAAGTATACAGTACCATACTTATGCTTAAACCGTTCCAAAAAAATAAATATGCATTACTCAATGAATATTGAAATAAAAGCATAATTTTGTATAAAAAATACAACCTTGTTAAATAGAAGTATTGATTTCGAATTTAAATAAAATCGTAAATGTAAAGAGTAAAAAGATAATGAGTCCAAATTTTAGAAATAGATTTTAATTAATTCATACAATATCGGGCTATTAATAACTTCATAAAAATAATTTTAATAGTAATAGTAAATATAATAACAATGATTATAATGAAAGAATTTAAAAAATGAATAATACAATATGAAGTACTCCATATGCGGTAAAATGAAGTAGACAAATAACTATTTGAGATAATCTGTATATAGCTTTGAATGATTTAGTTCGAGATAATCGGTTTTAAATATTTGCATCATGGTCCCGTCTTGTTTGATATCGGTTCGGTTTCGATTCGTGATAATAAAAATAAATCCCGCTTAAAAATACTAAAAACAGTTCGGTATCATTATGATCTGTTATGGTACCATGCTAGTTCAATTTTTTTCTCCACCCTGAATCAAAGCTTTGTTGGATTTCAAACTTGAGATCTCTGGTAAAAGTCATAGTCATACCATTTAACTAAAAGGTCTTTGATGTACCAAATTGTATGTTAAAGCACTATAGTGTATCAACAAAAACATTGGCTTTGTGTCGCCAAAATTAGTTATCAGTATATATCTCTGCAATAAATAATACGGAGTATCAAATTCTTGATGTCAAATTTGATGTGACCCTAACTTGACATGTATATCAACTGATTTGTCGAGAATTAAAAACACTACGTATTTTTTCATCTTGCTGAGCCAATGTCAAACTTGATACGATTAGTATATAAAATATTTTTCTCCATTTTTCAATGATTACCTTATTTTCTTTTTATCCATTTAAAATAAAGTTCATGTTTTTATTTAAAAATAAATTGGTTTACAATATTTTTTGGAATTTCTTAGTTTGGATGACAATCAATCAATTGTTTAAATTTTGGTAGTGAATCGTTGTGCAGATGAGCTATGCATTCACAGAGGTAACTTGAGGGTGAGCGTTTGAAAGCAAAGTAAAAAATAGAAATTATTTTCTAAACGAATGAAATGTCATATGGGCCTTAAATAGAACCTCATTGATTGTTCGTATCATTAGTATTTGACATGACTATATATGAGGAATGTGTGCACCTATTAAACAAACACAATGTGGTTATAGTTGGAGTGGAAGAATGCTCTTTTTCAATGAGTGCGAGACAATTGTTCTCCTTGGCATTAACTTTAGTGTTTAGTTTCAAATTTTTGAAATTGTTAATGCTAAAGGGGAGCTCTATAAAAGATTCGCTATATCGTTAAAAAGATCATTACACTAATCACAAACATTATTTTCCAACAAAACCAATATAATACATACTCTGTATAGTATAATTGCAAAAGGATTACTTATTGACACGTTAAAATTATCTACAAGTCTTTGCCCTTATTGTGTGGCCTAGGTGCTTTTGAATTCGAGTCAGAGTGAACCGTGAAGATGAGATACAGAGTTTTTCACCGACGAACCTATAGTTTCTTAGTATAAGCTCTTTGATCGTATCCATTGTGAATGACCTCAATATACCAATAAAGGGACATTCGGCCCATAGAAGAACACATTAAGGCTCATGTTGAGATCTTGATAGAGGACTTAATTGAGTTTGGGACTTCTATTAGACTTGGCCAAACGGGTTAGCCATGTATGACACAATTGAATGTACATATGGTTGACTACATGTGCCCAATGGTCAATGCTATGGCATTACTCTTGAAGGTAGAAGGTTAGAGGTTCAAAGTCGAGTGTTTGGTCAACCTAGGGGTGTGATATATACCAAGGTGTTGGGAAGTTTTGACTCTTGTGGTTGGTTGTGTTATCATGGAACTCGTCCTCGGTTAATGAATGGCGTCTAGTGATCAAAATTTAAGAAGCTCTGGCTTACTTCAAAATTCAGAAAATTTTACTCGTGAAGTGAGCGACTTAGGATGGATATCATATCTCAGAAAGGAAGTATCCGATACATGAGAGAATCGAGGCTCAAGATTGGAGGCCTATGGTGAGAGATCATATGAGAAATTGGCGGAGAATGGGACTTCGTTATCTTAGACTCGCCCCAATATAATGGGTCAACGTATCATGTCAGCCTAAGGATGCATGGGTGTTGAGATTTTTCTACACCCAGAGAAATGTACTCCGTAGTTAATGACCGGCTCAACTTATTGTGCCGGTTTAAGGGTGGATGTGTTATGTAATGTTCATGGGCCTGCTTGCCATATTTTTGTCTATAAATAATCCTCTCTAACTTGTGAGATGGGGGGTTTGATTCATTCGAACGCAAACCAGTTTCTCTTTCTAATCTCGAACATTGAATGTCCGCCAATATGTAATGATTTCATTTCCCATGCAAAGTAGTTTAGAATTAGTCTAACGCAACACGAAAAATTAAATTTATGATCATATGAAAAAAGGATGTAAAATTGAGCTGAAGTCAACATGTGTTCATATGGGTGTGAGTAGTGACTTGTGAGTGTGAGGAACAAATGGTGTTTTTTTAATAAAATTCAAAGAGCGAATTATTGAATTCTTAGTAGAAGTTGGGATATTATGTGTCTTTTAGCAGCGAGATCGTTTCCCCTATTAAACTGAAGCTAGGAGAAATTTAGTGGCGATTTTTATTTAAAAAAAGAGAGACTTTTCCTCGGCTAATCGAAAGTGTTCTTGTAGTGTGCATGTCCTCATACTGCTTGGGATTACATTGTTTAAGCCTTTAACTTCTCCCTTAGTTTGAGTGGTATAAACTCACTTTCCAAGATTTACTGGAAAATTCATCCAAGTTGAGCCCTAGTGAAAGCTGAGGTATTGACTTATTGGGCGTCATTATGTTGAAAAAAATATGAACATATAATATATTGTAATTGAGTCACTAGCACTAAAAAATGTTGTTTAAGTATGTGTGTGTGCGCGCATTTGTGTGTGTGTGTGTGTGTGTGTGTGTATATATATATATCAAAATGAAATTTTATACTCCATCCGTTCTCAAAAACACTTCCTCTTTCGTTTTTTTCACTTCCAACAAAACACTTCCACTTTCTATTAAAAAACCACTTTTACCCTTACTTTTTCATACCCTACCTATCACATCATACTTTATCTCTAATAATCTATTCATCACATCTTACTTTTACCTATCACATCAAGGGTAAAATTGGAAGTCAACTACAATTTAATACTTCCTTATTTTTACACAAAGTCAAAAGAGGAACACTTTTTCCAAACGGAGGAAGTATTAATTTGGGAAGATAACAAATATTATCCATTAATCATAGAGTGATAGGAAAATCCTTTTAACCAAACTGAATAGAACACTAACTAATGAACTAATCCCCTCGTACATAGCTGCTCAGACTTTAAGAAACAAACAAAATAGTGGGAAGAAGACCTATGCCATAAGTCCAATAGCATTAATTAGTTAGTGAATAATTAGACTATTGAACTGAAGGGACAGTTAAATAAATAACTAAAAGACAGTTTTAGGCTTAAGCAACATACGGATTATATACGGAGTAATAATCTTCAAAGTATTGTTTAACCTTAAGTCAGCTGATGACATTTTATGTGTGCTTATAAACTGACTTATAAACAACGTATACGTTAGAAAAGATATGCAAGTCTCAACTATTTATTTTGAATCTAGTTTTTTTTTATTTTTCTATTTTGACTTAGATTATTTATAAAACTGTCACTCATTATTTGTTAATACTTATAAATGACTTATTCATTGTTTAAGTCATTTCTCTTTCATGAAAAAATATCTGACTTATAAGTAATTTATAAGTTAAAAATTGGTCATCAGTAATAAGTCAATAAGCACCAATAAAATTTCATAATACTGTATCATATCATTTAAAATGTAACATATCATTTAAAAACTACTCTGTATATAGGATTTCTTATATAGAATTTACATACTCTTCTTATATAGAATTTACATACTCCGCCTGTAAATTCAAAAAAATCATAGTTGACCAATTTTGACTGAAAAAATGAATCTAAAAATTTCATTTCACAACTAGTTAAAAATAGAGAATTAAGCTAGGAGTACACCAACAAGAGATACCCCAAGTGTGCACCAAAGCCAACACAGATACACACAGACATTTTGTGTTTGTGTGTGTCTGTGTTGGCTTGGTGTACACTTGGGATACCCCATGTTGGTGTTGGAACACGGGTTTACGCCTTCGTCGTACTAAACTGTGTTCGTTTATGACAGGTTTTGATAATGCCAAACCGCCGCGACATATCGAAGCTAAAGTGAGCAAAACTAAGGCGAAGGAACATGGCATGATGACTTGAGAACCAAGAACCCAGAATCAAGAACGAAGAACTAGAATTGTATTGAGTCGGTCTTAATGTGATCAAGACCGGCACAAAATTCCAAATCTTGGCTCTCTAGGCTTAATTCATAAAAAAAACTCCTTTACATATTCAAAAATACCTTTCTTAAAGTTTAAACTTGGTTCAAAACACTTGGAGTTCGCCCAAGCCAAAAACCAAGCCATCCGGCGTTCGGCTTTCAGAAACCGGCGTTCGGCTTTTGGTTTTCGGCATCGGTTTTTGGCGTCCGAACCAACCAAGGGGTTTTTAACTTTTTATTACTGGTCTTTACTTCTGGGCATATTTAAATAGTTCTCCAACAAAAACGCCTCAAAAACCACCTTCCGTTTTTGGTCGTTTAGTGAAAACCATGCAAAACGGCACGAACTTGGCTAGCCATGGTTTTCAACTAAATGACGTGGTTTTTAAGATGTTTTACTTGATTTCTTAGCAAAATGCAATAAACAAATGTTTTCTAAACTTGGTTTTTATTTTGGAGAACTTGCGTTTTTGACATCGGCTAACG